ATACTACAATACCCATGAGCCTTGGCCTCTGTTGAAACCCGTCCAAGGTGTGCATCTGAAAGCATTTTATTTAAGCTGCAGTTTGTATTATGAGCATCTTTTATAGCTTCCGCCTGTATTAGCATGACAGGTAACAGAATTTTAAGCTCTGGGATGCACTTTGGGAGCCAGTCGTTTCCATTCCATGTTCTTTTATATGCACAGGCATGTAGCTTTTTATTTTTTAAGTATTGGGGGCTTTTATTGCTTTTAATCAATAGTGATAGCTGAATAACATGCAGCAAAGGCACACTGCAGCAAGGAGTCAGCCTTGGTACCAGATGAGCTATCAGGACCTTTTGATTTTTTTTTAAATCAAACAATTCGATATTAAGATAACGCTGCTGATCATTTTTTTTAACCTGGAGAGTTTCATGTAGATCCAAGCCTGGGAAGTGTTTCAACTGCCAGTCACTGAATATGGTCTATGGAAAAAATGTATGTCTTGTAAAACCCATTTAGTGATTCCTTATTTGTTAGTTTAAGTAATATAGTCCTTGAATCACTAATAGTTCTCTTACAGTCATTTCTCTGCTTTGTAACAGCGACCCATTATTACCATGCACAATTTGTAAATGGTGTATATGAGTGAAATAAAACAGAACAACACTCCAATCCCCTTTGTCTGCAATATTGTGAAGTGCTCTCAGCTTTCCATTTGCCTGAAAGTGTAACACCGAGGTGGATTGAACTTCTTTAAAAAACAACTCAAAGAAAACATTTCTGTTTACAAAGACAGCCACGATCAAGGGCAGTGAATCTTTGAGTTCTAGAAACAGTCCTTCAGCAGTATGTTTCCCCCTCTGACTTAATCAGCCTATTACAGCTATTGATTAGCCGTGCACCTGTTGAGCCGGGTCGGCACTTTTCAAGGACGGAAAGCAGCCAGCGCTCTCTCCATTTAGGGTTTAGCAGCGCTAACGTAGACTGATTATGCTGCGTTACTCTAACAACTTAATTTCTCGTTTTCATGTCTTTATCTCCTTCTCACACTCTGCCCATTTTTTCTGCCTATCCTTTACATTCATAACGTCTTTCTCCTTGTCTGACCTTTTGTCTGTACTTTGTTTTCCCTCTCTCCCCACACCCCCAACCCACTTTTCCATTTCCTTTCAGTGGCCCTGTACGCCATCAGTGCGGTCTATTTTGCGGGTGTGATGGTGCGACTGATGCTGACACTGACCCCGGTGGTGTGCATGCTCTCTGCGGTGGCTTTTTCCAGTGTCTTTGAGCATTACATGGGAGATGACACAAAGAGGGAGAAGCCCCCTGCTGAAGACAGCAGCGACGAGGACGACAAGAGGAACTCTGGGAACCTTTATGACAAGGTCAACACAGGACAGAATAATTGCCAAAATTCACATCAACATGTACAGAAATAATGTCAATCAGTATTGCTCTCCTGAAATATTACACTCATTTCCCTGCAACAGAAGTTATTATGATGCTTGAATTTTGGCTGTCAGAAATCCTAGAATTTAACACTGTAATAACACGGCAAACAAGAAAAGACAAAACAACATTTACTGAGATATTTTGCTAAGTTCCTCATTGATTTTACACTCCTTTGAAGCACCTATTTCAGTTTGTATTTATCAGTTAATCATGTTTGTCAGCTTCCATCCTCACTCCCCACCAGTCTTGCTTGCCAGTTTGTGTAAACTGTGATTCAACTGTGATTCAGCTGCAACTGTTTGATGCTGCTGCCATAATTTTAGCTGTCTCACTTTGTTGATTTTTTAACTGATTGCTGTCAAACTGGATCGTCTAAGTCCACCTTGTTATCCCATAATTTCATGTGCTATTCAAACATTCATCTTTCAGAGGTGATGCTAATTACAGTTTAGCTTGTTTAACAATTTAGTAAAGTTGTGTAATGCTTCAAAAATGACATGTTTAAGCCAGTTTTTGAACATCAGGACAGTCACGCTGAAGTCTGTTAATGGTGACAGTACTCGTTACACATCCTTGCTGCAGTGAAAGACATATTGTATCATGCAGTGTTATCAACGTATCATGTTGGTGTGTGTGATTTATGATGATGGTGTTAAACACCTTGTTTACTAACTGATTTTCTCCTCTATTTAAGTGATGGTTAGTAAGCTAGTTAATAGGAAGTCTCATTAAGATCAAGAAAGACATGAGAACAAAGTACATGTATCGCATCACAACAGGGCAATTGTCACACAAAGCAGTCTTGACACACACTTATTAAAACACAAATATTTTTTTAAATATAAGCAAGTATTAACTGTGACTTCAGTTTGATTTGCAGTTCATGCAGTCAGTTCTCACTTTTTGGCAGAATTCAAATGTTATGTCCTTTTTATCTACATCTATCTCTGCTCATCTTCGGGTCACAGTTCAGTTATCAGGGAAAGTAATTGGATGTGCCGGTCAAGTAAAATGTTCACACTATGCAGATTTCCTCATCACCAGACTTTACATACCCTGAAAGATTCATTGCTGCTAGTGTAAAATAATATTAACTCATCACACAGCATGGAAAACTTGGGGATGCTCTAAGATACTTTGCTCAATTAGTTCATTCAATAATTTATTCCACTCAATAATTCATCTCTCTGGAACGCTACAGACTTGGCTGTCCATCATAATAGTGTTTGTCTCCCCCTGCAGGCTGGCAAGGTGCGCAAGCATGTGTCAGAGCAGGAGAAGGCCGAGGAGGGTTTGGGTCCAAACGTCAAGTCAATCGTCACCATGCTGATGCTGATGCTGTTGATGATGTTTGCCGTCCACTGCACCTGGGTCACCAGCAACGCCTACTCAAGTCCCAGCGTAGTGCTCGCCTCGTACAACCACGACGGGTACGAATTATACACGCACCCCCTTCAGTTATAACATGTTAATGGATGTTAAATAACCGCAATGAGCCATGCAACGTCTCCAATTGTAGTTCATAATGCAGAAGGACGGATTACTCCACCTTGCATGCAAATGAGCACAAATGTCTGAGTGTGCACGAACACACAGAGCTGCAGGATACAGGGAACATATGTATATTTCGTTAGAGGTTTGTGAAAATATTGACATGTGCACCTATAAGCATTAATATGATTGCTTAACTTAGTGTTTCTAGGTCACAGAAGACGTCTGTGGACCAGCTGATATACTATTCTCTCTGAGATTCTTTACAGGCATAATTATTCTCTTTAAGCATTAGGAAGGAAATATTGAAGACAGACTAAATGGTAGATGCAAGTTGTCATACATGTATTAATAATACCACAGCAGTTCTTAGACAATGGTTTAGCCGTGCTACAGGAAACAGCATACATGTCACTCTGCTCTTTTTCTCACATATACACCCACACACTCGCGCAAAAATGCACAGGCACACAGACAAAATATGATTACCATACCTACGGTTAATTTGTTGCCTGGCTTTTATGTCTACTCTCACTCCTCGAGGTAAATTTAGGACATAAACGTTCAAAGTGTGAAGGTCTTTTTTAACCCTCAGTTTATTATGCATGCATGCTCTATTTTCAGCTGTTGTTGCCCTTCTGATTCAAAGTCTTAACTGAAATATTAATAGTCTTCGCAGCCATATGCCTGTCAATGCCTTTACCTGTCAACCTGTTTTTTTTCCCTTGTTAGGACGCGTAACATCCTGGATGATTTCAGGGAGGCCTACTACTGGTTGAGACAGAATACGGACGAGCATGCACGCGTCATGTCGTGGTGGGACTACGGCTATCAAATAGCTGGCATGGCCAACAGGACGACACTAGTAGATAATAACACATGGAACAACAGTCATATAGCACTGGTGAGCCCCTCTATCTGTTTCTCTTTTGTCTGTCTTATTCTTGTCTTCATGTCTTTGCTCTCCTCCTGTTTTACTCTTTGGATTTATTCACTTGCTGAGAAACAAATGATTTCTTCTAGCAGCCACCGGATGATTAGCAAGCTCTTCAGTGAATTTTTTATGTAATTGCCACATTGTATCAAACCTCTCCTTCCAACAAGCCAGATAATCGTGTTTGCTTAAACTTTTCTTATTGAATTTACAGTGTAGAGGGATTTCAGTTAATTGCTGTCAGGTTCTGTGGGTTTGATTTATTTTTTCTCTCCGCTGCCAAATGTAGAGGAATGGTTTTTGTCTTTCAGTCTTTTACAGCCCTCTAGCTTTCTTCTCTCTTGCTTTCTACCTGCTGCCTGTTGTCTCTTCAGCATCTGTCTACAGGAAATGTAATTACAGAGAATGCAAGATGGATCTCTGTTTAATAATTCCTGTTTTTTGCCATTGCTTTATTGAAGCATTGTGTCTTGTGAAACAAAGAGAACCCCTTGTCATTCTTTATCACTGCTTTTAGGTTGGGAAGGCCATGTCGTCAAACGAGAGTGCAGCCTACCAAATCATGAGGTCACTGGACGTGGACTACGTTCTGATCATATTCGGCGGTGTAATCGGCTACTCAGGAGACGATATAAACAAGTTCCTGTGGATGGTGAGGATAGCGGAGGGAGAGCACCCAAAGGACATCAGGGTGAGTGTGTGACAGCACCTGCCTGCCACTGCAGCGATTCTGCATGAGGTCATGTAGTGAGCACTTACACAGCAGTGAAATCAATGTTTTCCTCTTCAGTCTAACACGCTCACTCTTTAGAATTGTGCTCAAGGACAGACTCTGTTCAGCAAATTGTCGTTTTCTTTAATGCATGAAAAATATCAAATTCCGATTTCAAGATCACACTGTCCCTGTTGACTCAACATACAGCACCTCATGAATGCTGCACCTGACTCCAGCACATAAATGTACCACATATACCTACGAGTGACAGCCGCAAAAACAAATTTAGTAGGTTAGGTTTACATGCACTCAAGAAACTAGGCTATTCAGAGAAACCAGAATATGTTGGTTTTAGAATTATTTTGAATATGAGATGTGTCACAGCGTGCGTATTGCGTAATAATCTCTCCCATCATCCCATCACTTTGCTGTCACAGCGCCACCTTACCAGGAGAAACATGGTTTATATTTCTCTAGTCCTCTACCCTGATTACAGAACCAGCTTCTGTAACCATATAGGCTTATTTGCTTTCTTGCCGAGAATTAGATTAGAAGACTGATATCTTTCTCAGTACAGTACTGTACATCAAATATGAAGCTACAGCCAGCAAGTGGTTAGCCTAGCCAAGCATAAAGACTGGAAATAGGGGGAAACAACTATACTGACTCTGTCTGAATGTAACAAAATCTGTGTCTGAATGGTACGCTAAAATATGTTTCTGAAACAGTTTAAGCGAGAAATAGGCAATGCAGTAACAGAATCTTGATATTTGATCAGCGCTGTCTAATTTGACAGTTGATCTGAGCTTTATCTCAATCACAAGCTAGCCACACCCAAAAGCATACTGTGCTTTATCACCTATTTTATTCATGCTTTATGGAAGAATACTTGAAACTAGTGATTGAGACCATAAACTCATTAGGAATTGGCTAATAAATCAAATGAGAAGTAGGTTCCTTTCTCCATAAGCTGCTCCCTGCTGGCCATGACATAGAATGCATGTTTAAGACACTTGGCAGTGGTTTCACTTCACAGACCCGGAAGGTCTTTCCACTATATATAGTCATTGTCAGTGTTTATATCTCATTCATTTAAACCTTACTAAACCGAAAAGAAAGCCAAAGCGGATTTCCCTCCAAAAAAACTATTACTTACGAGTGCGTGTACACACACGCACACACGCACACACACACGCACACACACACGCACACACACAGTCAAGAAATGATTTCAAGTTTTGTATGTGACGGAGACACTACCATGTAGGTAGTGTGTTGGGCAATAGTTTCAAAGCAGTTATTTTATGTTTATGTAGTAGCAGTTGTTTGTATTGTTGTAATTTATTTATTTTTATCCACCATGCTCTGTCTGAGCCTCATCAATTAGTGTGAAATTGTTCCCAAATCCAATCTTAATCAGTCCATGGCATCGAGCCCTGTCATACTCAGGACGTGATGCAGAACTTTAATCACAAACAGGCTGGTTTTTTTTTCATATTTTTATCAACCCTTATCACATCCAATCAGCGATTTCTTGGCGCCGGTGCTGCTAAATTACTTCATAATCTTCTCATTTATCTCTTTATCTTACTTTCCTTTTCTTTGTCTTCTTCAGGAGAGTGACTACTTCACCCCTCAGGGAGAGTTCAGAGTGGACAAGGCTGGTTCACCAACGCTGCTCAACTGCCTCATGTACAAGATGTCCTATTATCGATTTGGTGAAATGCAGGTGAGCAAAGCAGCCCTAATGAAAGACTCGATTTTGCTTTCTGGCCGAGTTAACATAGCCAAAAAACTCTACAACCCTGCATGTCTTTGATAATTTTTTTCATCTCCAGGTGTGAGGTCAGGGCTAGAGAGAAACTCTCTACTGAATTTAAAGAGATTTTGTTCGGGTTATGATCCCCATTCATGGGTCCAAATAATGAGTTCTACCTCTGCGCCAAGATCAGAGTAACAAGCAGCTGCTATCACCAAAGAAGGAAAAAGTATGACTACTATGTTATACAGCTTGCACCTTTACCAGAGATTAACAAGCAGCTGCCACCTCCAAAGGTGTAAAACTTTTTGCTACTGTATCTTAAAAGCGGAGCTTGCTGACAGACAGGCGGAAGAGGATATAAGGAGGTGCCTCTGTGAGCTCCTGAGGTTTGGAGAGGGGTGTGTTGTGTG